CATTGTAAATAATATTGAAAAATATGCCTAATGCCTGTTTACTTTTGATTTCTTTTCAATTTACACGTAATTGTTGTCAATGTTAACGTTATTTCTGCTTGGCTAACTAAATTGATATAAGCGTTGTCATTAAAACATTTTCTTTGCGCTGTCAATTAAAATGAAAGTGAAAATCTCACTAAATGCGCTTATTTGCATACCCTGTTCAATGTGCCTGAGTGTGGGGTATTTGATTATTGTTTATGTGGGAATTTGGTGTACTGCCACGGAAACGAATCGATACAAAAGTTTTCTATTCCCATGTTATCGATAATAAATGGAAATATTTAACATCAATTTGATTATGAAATCTAAGTGCATCGATAACAAAGTTTTCAGATATCTCCAAATCGATATAATATAAGTAATCTAAAAATATGAAATCGATAAAAAAATAATACAAGCTTATGTCATATATATAACATGTAATAAGATAGAATATGAGAATATGAATAAGAATGATTTGATAAATTATTATTATAAGTAAAAGATGCCTATAAAATTTACTTAAACTTCGACTTCAGATTAAGGATTATGAATATATATTAAATCTGTCTTTGAAATCGACATGAATCAGTCGAAAGCAATGAAATTCCAGAATAATTTTGGCTGTATTTATTTTCGCCCAACGATTGGATATCTCCTCATCCAGCACGCCCCACCTACAGGGCGAGAGAGCACTCTCACTTGTTTCGCTCTAGCAAGTTTATTATGAAATTATGCATTAATAATGAGGCGTGGCGCGTCCATATGTCATTTGCCACGCGTATTTAAAAATTTAAATGCAGTGCAGGCAGTGCACCTCATAGCGTATACATAATTGAGCGCTCACCGTTTATATTTATTTATTTATTGTTGCGCTGCTGTTTGTTTCTTTTTTTCATCAGTTTTTCTATCAATGCATATGAATTGAAATGAAATACAGCAACAAACAAATTAGAAATGAATTATACAAGAGTCGCCATCAAGTGGACATTTAATTTTTTAATTTCCATTTTTTCAGTTTGATTTTGCAATTGCATTTTATAAAGTGGCCTATCAAATAAATCGTTAATTAATTTGCATTCATTTCCATTTTTTTTTTTTTTTTTTTTTTTTACTTTCTCGCATTGCTTTGACATTTGTTGCAGATAAATTCAAGTTTATAAGTGGATTTATGCATTTGAATGGCAAGCCACAAAGCAGAAAATTTAAACAAACACAAAAAATGCACTTAGTACCTATTAGAATTTTATAGGAATTTTATGAAAAGCAGAAGGAATTTATTTTAAATTTTTTATCTATGATTATTATAGTATAGTGTGGAGAATACTATGGTAAAGTACTCTTGTTGATATTGGCTATAAAATATTTTAGACTCGTATATAAATAGGAGCGCAGAGAGCAGAGCAAAAATCACTTATTAAATTAAATTATTATATTCTTACTCAAACTTTTTATAAAAAGAAAAAAATATTTTTTTTATTTAATTTGTTTTTAATAAATTGTGAATGTAAAGTTGTTAATATAAAATCTTTAATGCCTTTGAATTTATTTTGTATGCCCAGAACCTACTAAAATGCGAAATCAGGATATGTTAAATGTATGTAGAAGGCAGAAGGACGCCTATAGTATTTATTTATACATACGTATATGAATTATAAAAATAAAAAATGATCATATCTACATATAAGATAGGTATCTAGATAAATAAAAATAATAATAAAAATCTATATGTATTTTACAACACTTTTTTTTTAATATTATAATATTTGCTCATTTTTATACGTATACTTTATTTTAGAAAACTCATTCGGTTTCTAAATTGTAATTATGTGACATCGTAACGCGTCGCGTGCATTAAATTTGTAAAAGCTCTAATGCAATTTACACAAATTTTGGCAATTAGCAATTGAGATTTGGCAATTATGAAATATTTGGATGGAAACATTGTAAATAATTGCATAAACATTTATTAAAATAAACGCTTTCCGGTAATTAGCGGTGAAGTAAATTTATAAACAAATTAATTGACGACAATTTATGCGGCACAGATACGAGGTACGAGCCGAGGGCTCCAATTTCAGCTAGCAAGAGGAAGAAGAAGAAGAAGCTAACGCAGACCTAGTGGAGCAGGGGCAATATATTTATAGAAAGCTGCCAAAAATGGGCTCATTAGAAACTTTAAGCGCAAGCAATTTATAAAAAATGTAAATAGGTGAGCACAAAAATGGGGAAATGACGGGCGAAGAAATACCCTGTATATGATGAGAGATGAGAGATTCGAAATTGAAAGTAAGAATAAGTAACTAACTTTATATTAGGTTTTGGTTTCAGAATGACAGCTTCAAATTGAAATTAAATAATTGTGTATTAGTTTGATATTAATCGATTTATAATGAATCATATATCGATTTTATCTGATCACCTATGTATATGTATATTCAAGCTATTGTACTACCAAACAGAGACAGAGAGACAAGCTATGACTAACAGATACAGACTTATGTGAACGATATATAGATTCTCAAATGTAAAGACTTAGCTAGGCAGAGCTATTCTTTAAAATAAAATATATATACTGTATATTCACAATAAGAAATCTCTATAATTAGTGACCAACCAAATGACATTACTTTTTCTCTTTATATAAACTGGAATCTGATAATCCTCGATACTGAAAACCATCTTCAGCTGCAGAACGAGACGACCCATCTCAGGCCACTTACCAACTACAGAGCATTAATATGCGTATCTAATAGCTTAATTTGTAAACGAGAAAAGAAAAAAAAAAGTATATAGCTGAAGATACAAAGTACTAGGTGTGAGATGTTCGTAGTCAAGAATCGCAGATTCACATGCGTTGCCATCCAAGCAAATTTAATGCGTTAATTTTCCGACAATATATATATATACTTTTTTTGCTTTGCGTAATCTAGCGAGGCGTGCGACGCTCGTCCTTCCGGCGTAGGCGGTGAGCGGTGGGCGTGGCAATGTAGATGATGAAAACTGTCGTTGACGGCAGATATACATATTTATATACATGTATATATGTATCTATATATATGTATGTATGTATATGATTTTTTATTTTATTTTATTTATTTTTTTTGGCTAGGTCTTTATCGTCGCTGCTTCCTTGTTGCCGTCTGCCACCTGGCAGGATATCCTTTTGTTGTTAACGTCTGCGACTTGTACATCTCGTTGCGTTCTCTGTTATTCTTATCGATGCTAATATGGCATCCAAGTAAGAGTCACAGTTCTCAAGAAAAAGGAGAACTTAACAATTCACTTTTAAGTGTTCACGAATTTCCATCATCTGAGCATTGACTGTTGGCTCTATATATAAATATTGGTGTGCGTGTGCGTCTATGTGGGTGTGTGTGTGTGTGTGTGTTTGGCATATTTGAAAACTTTTGCCGCAGGCTAACCACAACCCACACACAACCCCACCTCTTCTTCTTACCTTTCTCTCATTCTAAGGTATATGAAAAATTGTGCGCATAACTCGAACTTCAGTCGGAAAATCTTAACAAGAAACCAAAATTTTTTACTAGTCAGAACAAGGTATCTCAGCTATTTACAAGCAGGTGCACAAGTCTAGCTTTTTTGTTGTTGCTTGTCTTGAGGGCCAAAACTATTTGGCCAACATATATAAATGCCAGCTAATTATGTAGAGAGTTGAGCTACTTAGCAGTTGTTGCAGCTGTTAATTTGCCCAAAACTATGCGGCTTACAGCGCATGTTAAGCGCACTTTAACAGCTCTGCGGTAACAGCTCGCTGACTGGCGACAAACGCCTTATATTAACACGTGGCTTCAAAGTTTTGGGAGCTGAATTTGGTTTGCAATTGGCGAAATTTATGTTAATTAAATTTTTGAAGTTTCCCGAGAGCAAGAGAAATAGATGGTAGATATTTGATAGAATTGTGGATATTATGTATGTATATACATATACCATATTGCTTGAAGGTATTTTCATTTAATACTGTTCTTAGTTATAAAAAAAAATAAATAAAATAAAATATATTTGAGATATAAATTAAAGATTTTCTACAATTAAAAAATAATAAATAATTTTATTTTATCAAAAATTTTATAAAAAAAAAAATTAAATAAAATAGAGAAAAATATTTATATGCTTAGTAAATATATTTATTTATATTTTACATTTGAATAAAATAGAAGCTGTAAAATATACATCTATATATATTTTTTGTGCATTTATATAAAAGCGATTTTAAAATTATAATTAAATAATGTTTGGAATTTTTAAATAATAAAAAATGAATATCATAAATTTATATATATAATTTATATACGTCCATGCTAAAAATATAAAAATTAAATTTATAAATTTAACATTTATATAAATTAAATTTAAAAATATTTTTGTATACAATTAATTATTACAAAATATTTGACAAGCAATTTAGCAATACTTTTACCACAAGCTCTAACATATCGCTCACCTTCATTTTACCTTCATTTCCTATTGTTTATAATTTTTGCATAATTTGCCGCAAGCTTTTAATCATTTTTGAATGCGAATAACTTTTTATTTATTTATTTTGTTTTTTGGTTTAAATGCTCCTCTGCATTTCCTCGAGATAATTGCAGCCACACTAAATGCTTTTGATTACGGTTGCATGTTAATTAGCATCAATATTTCGACCGATCCAAAAAAAAAAAGAGTGAAAAGTAATTAAGTCTCCGATATGGTCTTTAAATCCAAAAATAAATGCATACAAATATTTGTTTCGCAATTTGAATACGCCGCTATGTTAATAAACAGCAGCGCGCCGCCTAACAGTGGCTTGACGCTCTGTTGTCTGAGCTGCGCAGTCAGCGCTGCGTCGCGTCGCTGCTTTAGCTTCGTATTCCGACCATAACAGTACAACTTCGGCTCTGCTGTTAAGGCTGTTGCAGCATGTTTGGCCTGCTGCTCTTGGCCGCTGCTTCTGCTGCTGCTGTTGCTGCTGGTCCGCTGGCAGCGCAGCTCGTATTTCCGTTTTATTATTTCAGTTCTTGGCTTGTGGCCTGCTGGCGCTTGTCTCAGTCACCTGCCAAGTGTTGAGCGCGTCGCAACGCAGCGGCTACTACTTTGCTACGGTTTCTAACGGTGTGTTAACCTCTCGTGTCATTTATCAGTGTCTACGTCTATGTGTGCTTGTGTGTGTGTGTATGTGTGTGCTAAGCACGTCATCTTTGTGCGTGTGTTTTGTTTTTATTTACATTTTTTACACATATGCCATAAAATTCAACACAAATCCTGTTCAAACGCTAAAAACCAGTTTTGTTCTCTATTCTTTGACATTCAATTTTTTTTTTTGTTCCGAACCGTTTTGATTTGAACTCGATACCAATAGTCGATACCCGAACCAAACCGCTTTGATAATTGGCTTGCATGCAAGAATTTTAAGCGCGCGCCGCGTGACGTCGCCCGGTTACGGCGCTTCCCCCTCCTCCTCCCACAAGCACTACAGTCCATGCAGCTGCAGTCGCAGCCGCAGCCGCTGCTTTGGCTATCGATAGAAGCTTTTCGTTTTTGTTTACCGTTAGCGGTTAGATAGTTTTCATCCAGCAGTATATCGTCTCTCCCCATTACGGTCTTGCTCTTGCCGGGGCGCTAGTTCTTCTTGTTTCTTGTTGTTCTCGAGTGTTGGCCAGTTACTGCGCTGCCGCTGCTGCCGCTGCTGTTCGTTCTTTGTCTTCCTCTTTCTCCTGCTCATCCGCTGCCCGCTGGCCAACGAAGCGTGCGGCGACGGCGGCTCTAGCTGTTTAGAAAGCCACTCCAGACGCCAAGTTGCTGTTGCTTCAGCTGGTTCTCCTTCTTCATCATGATTATCATGATTATCATTAACAAACGGGTGTCTTCGGCGCTCGCTCTCTTGCTCTCGAGTCTCGTCTCTTAATTAAATTTAAAGCTAAACTTGGGCCTCTGCAGACATAAATTGACCGACTTCTTGTACCGAAACCGAATAACCGTTAATTAATTCGATTGTTGATTGTGAACGGCATTTGTTGTTGTCTTAAACAAGTTATGGGATGAAATATTTATAACAAGCATACAAATTTATAAACAAAGAACTGAGTTGATCAAAAATTACTTGATTAGAACCTGATTAATGCAAATTTTTTCTGTTGTTGTTGCTATGACCCCAACGCGGCAAACACACGGAAACAAAGCAACTTTTAGTCCCAAATATTCTTGAATCCTAAATTATTTATTTCCTATTAAATATTTATTTAATAATATAAATTGGAATTCATAGTTTTAAAATGAATTTACATGCTATTGTTTAATGGCAATTTGTTTTTTTCATAAAATTCTTAAAATTATAAAATTTATTACAATTATTTAAATACACATTACATATTTTATTAAGAAATTATTATGCAAAAATAAAATCATAAAATCAATTTAAAAGTTTTCATAATTTATTATTGGTACATATTAAATATATAAAAAATGATGATAAGAATTGTTTAAAATGATTGTATATTTCATTTATTTTGTATTTTTTTATGAAATACAAAACAAAAAAAATAATTTTTTAAATCTTAATTTTTTGTTCTAATAGAATACTGACTATACAAAATATATTTAGTTTGGCTATAGATATATAGACATATTTCATTATGAAAAGTTCATTAAAAAAGATGATTTTTTTTTAAAGTTTGTTTCCAAAATTTAAATACATATTTCTATGTTTTGTTTCTTTCTTTTTAAATTTGCATAATTAACAAAAAAAAAAAAAAAAATATATATATATATATATATATATATATATATATATATATATATATATATATATATATATATATATATATATATATATTTTAATTCATATTTAATCTCACTTAATGATTGTCAATTATTAGAAAATTTAATAAATTTTTGTTTTTTTTTTTTTTTATTAAACAATTTTTTTTTTAAACTAAATTATCATTATTTTAGCCGTAATTGAGTAAGCTCATTAGCCAATAATTTCGCATGTTGGATCACGCAATTGTTGTTGTTGCCTTTAATCAAACATTTAATAAATATTTTTAATTGTTTGGCCAAACAGGTTGCCATAAGCAACAACAGCAACAACAACAGCAACAACAACAACAACAAGAAAACACCTGCAGGGTTAGCGAGCAAAATCAACAGCGACAAACGCGGCAACGGAAAACGTGAAAATTACAAAGCCAAAAAACCAAACGACGCGAAAAAAAAATTAAAAAAGAAATAAAAGATTAAAAAGCCAAAACACGAGAAATTCTGGTAGAAAAAATTAAAAAATAAAACGTAAAAAATATAAAAACCAAAACAAAATACACAAAAAAAAAAAAGAAAAAAAAAAAAAGAATTTAAAGCGCGGGCGTTTTGTCAACCAGAAAAGGGCCAAGCGGCAATAAAAGCGCACAAGTGGCTGCAACAACAACAACGAAAGCTACCCTGTGAAAAATAAAAAAAAAATTGTTATATATATATAGCCGATAAACATATATATATGTATATACACAGAAAGAACTGAAGGCCCGAAAACCCGAACCAAAAAAGAATCCCTTTTGAGCCCAGAGGCAGGAAAACGCTTGTTTCCACTAGGCAGTGACAAAAACAACAACGAACAGCAACACCAAACAACAACAACACAGGTGAGCAGTGCATGAATGAAGTGAATAAATGAATGAATGAATCATAAGGGGTGAGAGGCAACGCCAGCATTGACTGATTGAAAAACTGATAAAAGAATAATAAAAAAGGCGATGCTGAAGAATACGCATAGAGCACAGCAGTTGAGCAACAAAGAAGTGGAAGAGAGAGAGAGAGGGAGAGTGAGAGAGGGAGACGGTGGGAGAGAGAGCGAGGGTGTATGTAGAGCAGGATGTACTACTATGAAAATCCATTAGTTGTAGCTAATATACCCTGATAATTCTAGTAGTATAAAATATTAGGGTGGTCAAAATATTTGGCATTTGATATGATAGATTGGCAAGACAAGATTAGAATGGAACAGAAAAAAATTAATATGATATTTGCTTAGCATAATGTCATATGATTTAGTTGGTATTTATAATACAAGCTCCCAATATTCCTTATTTATATTTAATATAAGCTATTTCCTTTGGCTGTATTCTCAGAAAGCATGAAGTTTAATTAATTTTTCTGAAATGATTCTAACCCATATCAAATATTTTTATTCATTTTTATATAAGATATACAATTTCACTTGATATATGCTCAAACATATCGAACACATATGATATATTGGTCATATAATGGTATCTTAGATATAATGAAAGTCACATTTAACTAATCAGAGTTGATCTCTAATAGCTGATTTTTCTGAAAATTAAAGATTAATTAGCATTAAGCGATAGTAAACCTCTGGCTCTCGCTGCTCCTCTAGCTAGCACGAGTATATGCAGCCCTTTTGGCGCAGCTCCAACTCCTCCAAGTCGAGAGCTGCTCCACGCTACGTGACAAAGTAATGCAACTCTCTGTCAAGTGTATCAACAAAAGCGCCCATGGGCGCTTGCTTTCTTTTCAGCGCAGCGCAGCGCTGAGTAACCTAAAGCCCTCTTCGCCCGAACCATTCAGTGCCCTCCACAGACCCCTATACACCCCGGCGACAACCCCTTTTTGGAGCCTCCCCTCGGGCCTGCTCAATAAGCAATTAATATGCACAAGTGTCTGCGCGGGCTGCCAACTGAATTTCGTGCGTTTCGATAAGCGTGCCGAGTTTTTCATTTGTTGCGCTAGGCAGGGGATGGGGGGTTGGGGGGAGGAGGCTGGCAGGAGGCGACTTCCAGCGGGCGGCCTGCAACCAAAATCGCAGCCATAGCCCTGAAAATCCTAAGTGGTTTTTTCCTTCCTTTTGTATTGCTCTGCGTGTGTGTGTGTGTGTGTGAGTGAGGAAAACGTGGCACATTGTTTTGGTTTGTGCCAAAAAAAAAAAAAAATTGTATTCAGCGCATTTTTTTCGGCATCATTTTTTTTGGAGGATAGCTTCAATGGAAGACCCCTATCTTAATTTTGTTTTTGGTTTTATTTTAATTTTGGTATTTTATTTTAAATGCCGAGCTTAGGGACAGATTTTGAATGAGCTTTAAATGTGAGAAGCAATTTAAATAATTTTGCTTAGATATATACAGAATTATTTTATGCCTACATATATAGATGAGTAGATTGAAAATATTAAGCACTGCCTCAATTAACTTAATTCTCATTTTGTGTTTATAAGAATTAGTAATTTATATTCATTTAAATGTGATTTGTATAAATATAATACAAATCATTTGCTAGTTTGCGTAATCTCAATTTCGCATTTTGCTCAACTTTTGCCCACAAAGGCCAATTCCTATGCAGCTTTGCTTGTAAATAAACAAATAAATATTTATGCATGCACATATTTGCTATGTAGAAGACATATTCTATTGCTATAATCAGCAGAGTCTGGCAAAAGTTGTTCGGGTCAAGAAAAGAGAAAATGAAAATTGGGAAAATAAAGATAAAATGGCAGCTCGTGTGCTGGCAATGCGTAAAAAGCGAAAACAAAAACAACTAGTTAGAACGTTGCAGTCGGGCATTAACGACTGCAGAATACTCATTCGCTGACCAGAATGCTGACACGCCCACAATTGAGAATGTGAAGTCATTCAAGCTCTATAGCTGTAGAAAATTCGGCTTTACCCCATACGAACAGACTGCATACCGAATATTGCTCAAGACGAATATGCTCATTTCACTTTCGGAAATGAGTATAAAAATCAAAGAGCACAAAGGGTCACAAAGGCAGCAGTTGAGAGTTAGAGTAGTAGTAGTTGTTGTTGTTGTTGTTGTCGAAAATATTGCACATGGCACATATAAAGCAAAAGTTGTTATCGTTCGTAAAAATAGAAATTGAAGAAAAGTTCAAGTTAAACAGCAGCAGCAACAGCAACAGCAGCAGCAGAAGAAGAAGAAGAAGCAAAAGCAGAAGTAAACAGTGAGTCAAAGGCAAGGGCAAAGCACACACAGAAGAATGTAAAGCACAATAAAAGTGTCTAACTGTATAAAGAAATGAAAGTCAAAATGTGTGTTGGGCCAGCAACAGAGTTTACTACCTCGCTCATACCCTAAGCTCGACCCTTTGGTGATGACTGTGGCTCAGTTAGCACAGCCTCTCTGGCCATCATTAGCAGCAATTGGGATTATTTTTTTTCCATTTCCATTTTTGGCCAACTCGTTTGCTGCGACACCATTTTCTCTCTCTCTCTCTCTCTCTCTCTCTCTCTCCATCTCTCTTACTTGCTGTCTGTCTGATCTTTCGCGTGAACTCGAAAAATATGTGAAAAATGTGCCAAGGTGCCGCCGTTGTAGAATTATGTTTTGAAAGACGAAAGTCTCGCGGCCTAAGTCGAGAAGAAAGCGTGCAAATCTCGTCTGCAACCAGCTCCACAGTCTCTGTGTGTGTGCGTGTGTGTATGCGAGTGTGTGTGTAACGCTTAGAAACCGCAAGCAGTAGGCACAGTGGTTCATTTTAATTTAAAAATATTATAATTAAATAATATTATGCATGTGCATTTCATTATTCTTTCCAAAATCATATTAATATAAATTTAAATTATTCAAGAATATTATGAGCCTAAAAAAAACCTTCATTCAATTTATCCTATCTTCAATCAGATATATATTAAATTTTTGATAATATTTTAAACTTAAAAACGTAAAACAATTATACATAACAAGGGATTTAAAAGAAAAGAAAATTGCTTTTTATTAATTCCGATTGATATAAAGCTTTAAAATTTCGTTTAATATTATTTAATTGTATCTATTGCAAAATTGCTTGCAAATATATACACATTTGAATATTTTTTAAATTTTATATATGTATATTAAAAATTACTTTTGCAATCTCAAAGTTCGATTAGAATTCCCAATTTATCTAAAAAGCTAAATTTTTTAATATCTTTCTACAATTTTTGCTTTTAAGTAATTTCAAGTACAAAAAGCTTTTCATAATTTCCAGTTCAACAAATGCGGCTTTTAAGAACAAATTCAGAAATTATGCCAAATCACTTGTTTTCTAATTTTCCAACTAGTTTGTCTGTTTTTGTCTCCCAGTTTTTCCCACACTTCAAATAACCATTTGCCCATTGCGCTTTGGCTAAATAGTTCAACTTACAGCTCTAAGTACAGCTCTGAATGGGCATTTCCTGCTTCAGGCATTAACCCAACTAATTTGTAGGTGCCGCCAGATAACTCTTGACTTCCCCCAAAATGAAAATGAAACAAACGAACTAGAAAAAAAAAAGTTAAAGATGTAGAAGAGAAGTAGAAACAACAACAAAAAATAACAGAGAATGGAAATGTTTCCCACTGTGGATCGCATAATTGAATTATGATCGCCGACTATGCCAGGCGAACTAACGAACACGCCAAGCCAGAAGGGTAGTCAAGTGAAGACAATGATGATGTTAGTGAAGTTAATGATGATGATGATGGTGTTGCCAGTTGCCAGATGCAAAGCGAGAGAAATAAAAGAACAAAACAGTGCAAGTGGCTGACCAGAACAGAAACCGAACTCGACTCGACTCGGCTCTGGGCTGCGGCAATGAACTCAAAAGAAATGCCAGACAAACAACAAAAAGAAGCAGAACTAGAAGTCATAGTCAAAGAAGAAGAAGGAGAAGAAGAAGCAGGCGAGACAAACATAGGCAGCAAATAGAAGCAACTGAAGATGCAGCACACACATGATGCAGCCAGCCAAGTGAGAGAGGCAAATCGTGAAGCCTATGAGCGAGGATGAACGCACTATTAAATATTTACTCGGGCATTTCTCGCAGCTTTGCAGCTGTAACTAATTTTTTGGTTAAGCAGAAAGAGAGAGTGTAGCATACAAAGAAAGAGAGAGGAAGAGAGAGAGAGAGAGAGAGAGAGAGCAAGAGCGATAAAGGCTAGAGGTCATTCATCCAGCAGAACGTTTATCACGTTTATCACGCTGGCTTAGCTCTTGGCTTGGGCGCATTATTAACATATTTTAATACCCTCGAAAAATGTTGGCTAGAAACGTGCCTAACAAGCGGAACGTGCAGTGAATTACTTTAGTATGCCTGCCTTCTAATTTAGTTGTATTTATTTCAATGATATGTGAGTTAAATGGCTAAACGGTAAAACGTAAATCTGACAGAAAAGGTAAATTAATTAATATTAATGGAAAATATAACTAGCATATTATA